GTGGCGGCTGGAAAGGAGTCTTCAGACCCGCCCTCTCCCCTAGTGACCCCCCTGGACGTGGTGAAGGTCCGCCTGCAGTCCCAGCGGCCCTCGGTGACCAGTGGTGAGTGTCTGGCCCTGGAACCGGAGGGGGCGGTGCCTGCGCACAAGGATCTCCTAGAGGTGGGGTCCCTGGGGGCGAGGGGGCTCTCCTGACTTGAGGGGCCGCCTTGTGTTTTAGATGCGATGCCTCCCTCCAGGCTCTGGAGCCTCTCTTACACCAAATGTGAGTGCCTCTGGCCACAGGGGGCCGGAGGGTCCGGGGAGGGAGTGCCCCAGCTTCCCCAGGGCCCCTGAGCCTGGCAGCCATGGGCTAGGTAGCACGTGCCTCCAGGCCCTACCAGCCAGCCCTCTGTCCTGCACAGGAATACCCGCTGAGGACCCAGCCTCTGCTGGCCTCTGCTGGCCTCCCGGGACGGGGCACCACCTCCCCGCAGGGCTCCGGGCCATGGCGTTCAGTGTCCCTCCCCTTCCCCAGTGCCCTCCTCTCTCCGACCCACAGGGAAGTGCCTCCTCTACTGCAACGGCGTCCTGGAGCCCCTGTACTTGTGCCCAAATGGTGCCCGCTGTGCCACCTGGTTTCAGGACCCCACTCGCTTCACCGGCACCATGGTGAGGAGCAGCTGTGCCCGCAGCCGGGTCTGTCAGAGTTCCCGAGGGATAGCTGGCTGGGCAGCAGGCCCGGGAAGGAAGGAGCACAGCAAACATGTGGCAGCCCGTTCGGTGGGGGAAAGGCTCCCCTGAGGAGGTAGTGCCCTCCACGTGGCTTTGAAGGGTGAGCAGCAGTCCACCTGGAGCCAAATGGGGACTTGCCTGTGTGGAGACCTGAGGGCTGCCGCCTGCCAGCAGGACCCAGGGCTGTGGGCAGAGGCGAGGGCATCAGGTTAGGGACCGGCCTGGGCCAGCCCCTTCACAGGCCTTTTTCTTGTTCGTCCTTCCCGCTCGGGGCTGATGTCCTCTTGGCCAGGATGCCTTTGTCAAGATTGTGAGACACGAGGGCACCAGGACCCTGTGGAGTGGCCTCCCAGCCACCCTGTGAGTTCCGTCCTGCACGCTGTCTTCCCTTATGCCCTGCTGATCTCTTGCTCCCCTGCAGGCTGGCTGGCTGGGGCAGGGAAGTCCGGGGGCGCTGCAAGTCCCAGCTAACATCTCTTCACACCCCCAGGGTGATGATGTGCCAGCAACCGCCATCTACTTCACGGCCTATGACCAACTCAAGGCCTTCCTGTGTGGTCGAGCCCTGACCTCTGACTTCTATGCACCCATGGTGGCTGGTGCCTTGGCCCGCTGTGAGCACAGCCCTGGGCCCTTGATCCCCTGTGGCCCCAGCTCTGCCTGAGCTCAGTCCTAGCTCCCAGCTTCACTCTCTGCCCACGTAGGGGTGGGGAGATGTCTTGGGCTCCCAGACCCTGGGGCAAACTGCCATTAGGACCTGTGAGCTGACCCTCCCCGTTGTTCCCCACAGTGGGCACTGTGACTGTGATAAGCCCCCTAGAGCTGGTACGGACAAAGCTGCAGGCTCAGCACGTGTCATACCGGGAGTTGGGTGCCTGTGTCCGAACCTCCGTAGCTCAGGGCGGCTGGCGCTCACTCTGGCTGGGCTGGGGCCCCACTGTTCTTCGGGATGTGCCCTTTTCAGGTAGGCATCAGGGGGCAGGGGATATGGGGTAAGGGAGCCCTTGGATGGTGCACGAGAGGTCTACAGCCCAGTCCCAACTGACTTGATACTACTGACCTTGAAGTCACTGAACTCCTCTGAGCCCTATCGCATCTGTGAAATGGGCTCAGTATACAGGGTATTTGCCCAGGTTTTCACGAGATAATTTCCTGCAGAGAACCTGTTACAGAAACTAGTGTAGCCAACAGGCCTCTTAACTGGGAGGGAGTGGTTGTCCTGGTATAGGTCAGTGGAAGAGGGTGGTATGGGGCCCACCCTTTGGCCTTCCCCATCTCTAATGAGTGTATCCTGTGCCCCCAAGCCCTGTATTGGTTCAACTATGAGCTGGTGAAGAGCTGGCTGAGTGGGCACAGGCCAAAGGACCAGACATCGGTGGGCATCAGCTTTGTGGCTGGTGGCATCTCAGGAACGGTGAGTTCACTGGGCTGGGGGTGAGGCTGGCAGAGGTGTCCTTGCATGGCAGTGTAGTAGCTGCCTGTTGAGAAGCAAGCTCACCCTCCCTGGTGATAAGGCTGGCAGACTCAGGCTGGGTGCAAGGGATGGGGGTCCTGGGAATGGAGATGAACCCTCCCCTCCCCACCAAGTGGCTGCCATCCTGACTCTACCCTTCGATGTGGTGAAGACTCAACGCCAGGTTGCGCTGGGAGCTGTGGAAGCTGTGAGAGGTGAGGGGTTTGGCTGGCGTGGTGTGGGGGCAGGTGGGGGTCCACGTGGGGTCTTAATGGGTCATGCCTGTGTCTGCAGTGTCACCTGTGCACGTCGACTCCACCTGGCTTCTGCTGCGGAGGATCCGGGCTGAGTCTGGCACCAGGGGACTCTTTGCAGGTGAGTGTCTGTGTCCAGGCCCTGGTGAGGTTGGGGTCCTCTGGGACCCAGCCTCTGACCCCAACCTTGCCCTCCCACTGCAGGCTTCCTCCCAAGGATCATCAAGGCCGCCCCCTCCTGTGCCATCATGATCAGCACATATGAGTTGGGCAAAAGCTTCTTTCAGAGGCTCAACCTGGAACAGCCTCTGAGCCAGTGAGAGGAGCGCGGGGACGAGGGCCCCATTTCTCCCATGGATGGTGTGGGGCAGGAGGAGTCTGAGCCAAGTGCCTTGTCCTCAGGGGAGGGGCCTCATTTTTCCCTCTCAGCTCAGCCCCAAGGGTACCAGCCCCTCCGTTGGACCTGCCCAGGCCTCCATCAGACAGCTTTCTTCCTGCTGGTCCCCATCCCAAGCCCCAAGGATCATCACTTTTCCACCCAACCCCCCAAGTTCAAGACCAAATCTGTTAACTCTCTCCTCCCCCTGCCCTCTTGCCCATTTTCCCGTGTTCGTTGTAGCTGGGCCTGCCCCCCAAAGCCCACAGAACCCTGGACCTGGCCAGTCTGAACCTACTGCTGTTAATTCATTGAGTGTAAAGATGATGAATTTTTCTCCTGTGTCTGTGACTACAGGGGCAGGGGACACTGGGGTTGGGGGAAGCAGGACTTGGTGTGTGATTTGCCTAAAGGAGGCTTGGAGGGATCTTGGGGGGTATAGGCTCTGGCTGCCTGGGTGATGCTCATGTAAAGGACCTCCAGTTTAGTGAGGACCCAGAGTTGGGGGGTGGGGTCAACAGTAACATTGATGGTGTTAGGGCCAGGGTAGAGGATGGTGAGGCATCTCCCCAAGGGCACACTTGAGTATGACAGGAGGGAGGGTTCTTCACTGCCAGGCTTTGGCCTAACGGGAGGGTCTGCAACTTTGGGCCAAAGCTGAATTGTGCAGGATGATGGAGGAGGGCCCTCCCAGGCCTTGCCTCCTCCATCCTGCCCCCCCCCCCCCCATGTTCAGTCTCTTCTGCCTGGAGTTGAGCAAGGTCTTAGAGTGTCAGGTCGAAGGGGTATTTACGTGTCTTGGTCCTGCTCTGGGTGGACTAGTACTCAGGACGCTTCATACAGAAGTCGCCCACTCCGGAACCATCCTGACCCGCCTGCTCCCCAGGGCGCACTCTGATTCTGTGGTGCAGCATCTTGTTGGTTGTGGGCTCAGCGCTGGCTCTGCCGTACCCTGCCAACCTCAGGACAGGGTCCTGTCCCAGCCCCCACAAACAAGGCTTCCCTCCGTCCTCTGCTTTTTATTTGCCTGGTCCCCTCAGAGCCCCTGCACTGGGGCTGAGGAAGAAGTGACTCCAGGGAATGAATACAGGACAGACAGGAGAGGTGGGGGAGATGAAGGTGCTGAGGCTGGGCCACCAGCTCCTGAGGAGGGTGGGGAAGATGGGGAAGAGTCCCAGGAGGGAGCAGCCAGGCATCACAGTCACCAGAGCGTGGAGCAAGCTTCCCCAAGGACTTCGTGGCCTTGGCGACCCCACCTTCCTACCCAACAGGCTTCCCTTGGCAACCCTGCTTCCTTGGGCAGGAAGCTAAAACCAGAAGCAAAAGGTTTTGTTGCCAAGAGACACCTGGCTGGGTGGGCAGCGGTCTCTGGCAGGCGGCCTGGATAGGGGGGACTCAGGAAAGGCGGCGGGTGGCTATGCCCTGGCAGGTGGGGCTGGCACAACCCACACTGTTCAGCTGGGGCTCAGTGCTGGGCTGCCCTCAGGACTGTCGCTCACCAGGCACTCGTTGGATTTGAAGCTCGCCAGGGACTTGCAGCTGGGGATGGAGGCCAGGGAACCGCAGAGGCCCAGCATGGAGGGCGTGGGGTCCTTCCCTGGGGAGAGAGGGTGGGTGAGGCCAGGCCAACCAGTCTGCCTGGCTTGGGCCTTGGGATCAGACCACCCCCCACCAGGAGACGCCTCATTTCCGCAGCATTTGCCATTTCCATGAACCTGGCTGAGCACCTGCCTGTGCCATGCACAGCACAGGGAACACTTGTAATCGTCAGTGTGTGTTTCTGTCTCCCCGAGGTTCTCCCTCTCTCTGTCCGTTTATTAAACACATAGTGAGCACTTGTTCCGCTCCAAGCACTGGGGGTACAGAGAACGGACCAGACACAGTCCCTGCCCTCAAGGAGCTCACAGTCTGGTGGGGAGACAGACACAGGGACAGTCACAAACTGTGGCAGGTCACGTTCACAGCCTGCCTTGTCTCGAGATCTAGGGTCATCCAGTCCCGTGGTTTACAGAAAAGACATGCCCTCCAGGCACCGGGAAAACTAGGGTGGGAAACACAAAATGCATGCGCTGAAGTCCTGGGCATTCGCTTGAAGGGAGCCACTAGTTTGGCTCAGAGCTTCCTGGCAGCCGAAAAAAAGGGGGGAAACAAGGGTCAGGCACGTGGTTCACAGAGCGCGTGAGATATGAGCAAATCAGGCAAAGAACTCCCCGAGCATTGGAACCCCTTGAGGAAGTCCTGACAGAAAGCCATTGGGCCTCACCACCTGCCAAAACGATCCCTGGTCCGCATCCCCACTTTCAGATGAGAAGGCTCAGCGGTGTGAATACTGGCCCAGCTCCACCAGAGGAGGCGCAGCTGGGGTGTGCACTAGGGGCTGCCCTACACCCCAAACCAAGCTCTGAATTGCTGTGCTAACCTCTCTGGAAGGGCTGAGTTAAAGGGAATTGAGCAGGGCCTGACTACAAGCCCCACGGCCTGAGCCCTTCCTGGAGGCATGCTGGGTGCTGCATGGGGGGCTCACCAATGGGGCCCCAGGGCTCCTCATCCTGTTTGCCCTCTCCCAGGCGCTGGGAGTCCGAGCTCAGACTGGCTTCAGCTGACAACCGCTCCGTGCTCATGAAACTGTGTCTGTGACAGAGCAGAGAGCTGGTGTCTGGGCAGAGGCATACCGCCCCCCAGGCCCCTCTCCCCTCGGAGGGCGGAGGGCCCAGCACTCAGGCCCGAGCTGAGCCTAGCTGTGCTTACCTCCGGTACAGCTTGGGGTTGCTGACACCCTCAGCCCCATTGAGCGTTCCCAGTGATGGCCATTGGTTGACCAGGGGCGTGGTGAGCTCCTTGGAACCCTGGGCTAGGGGAGCGTGGTCGCCAGGGATCAGACCTGTCCTGGGATGGGGAGGTGGGGGTCAGGCTGGCTGGGAGAGGGAACAGAGGTAGGGAAGGGAGTCTCAGCAGGGGGGAGGGGTTAGGGTTGAAACCTGGGTAGCAGAAATGGGGACAATGTTGAGGATCAGTGGGGCAGATCCTAGAAGCCAGTGGAGAGTACCGGGGTCAGAGTGTGACGGGGATTGGTGCCCTCAGGTTGGGGGCTAGAGGGAGCAAAGGGTGTTGTGGGAATCGGAGGAGACTAGTGTAGGAATTCGGAAATGTGATTAGTGGGGGTGGGGGCTTGGGGAATCATGGCGGGAGGTCATAGGATGATGAAAGGTTTAGTGGGTAAATGTCAGGGGTGGGTAGGAGTGAGGTCAGGGGTCACCATGGGTGATGACAGTCAGTGGGGTATGTAGCACATCAGAGGGAATAATTCAATGACATTCAAGGTCGCTGAGTAACAGGTCCTTGTGAGTAATGGGTAATGTTGGGGCCCCTGGAATAATGTTGGGTGGATGGCCCTTCTAGCTGATGTCGGGTAATTAGATGAAGTGGGGAACGGGTTTTTGGAAGGGTCCCAGGATCTTAGTTGAGGATAACGTAGAAGGTTCCTGGGGAGACTTCAGGGTAGAGGATGGGTCAGTGGTTTGATGCTGGTGGTTGGTTGACTTGGATGCAGGTATCAAGAAAGGTGAGGTTGGAGTCAGTGGGGGTGATGGGGGGTTCCCTGGGGTGATGTGATGGAGGGGCGGGTCAGGGGTCAGGGCGGCGACGCTCACAGCTGCTCCTGCAGCTCCAGGATCACGCCTTCCAGCTCCCGCTTCTCGCGTTGGTTCTGCGCCGCCGCCTCCTCCAGCTGCAGCTGCAGCCGCCGG